AAATTAGTTATAAACAATTAGTGTTAAAATTTTTAACAATGCATGATTGTTTTGCTATTAGATATATGAAGCTATTGTTATAAAAAATTGAAATAATAGTTGTAAATTACTAACAAAGTAGTTTTAAATTATTTGATTAATTTAATGTATTTTTATGTCTTTTATCCTAATTTTAAATTACACTCAAGTTTCAAAGGACCTGGTTGTGGTTTCTAAATTTTATGGGACTTATATATAAATAAATTTGCTCTATGGAATCTATGCACAATTTTCCCATCAAATTAAGGATGACTACCCTTTCAAACCAACAACAAATTGTTGGTAATTCTTTTAGGGTCCTTCATCAACATTCTCCCTATAAAATCAATGTTGGTCAAGAAATATCAATATAAAATCAATAAATAATTGAAAAATTAACAAATTATATTATAAATAATGTGGCATATATTTCGTACTTACTCCAATATATTAAAGATGAAAAAAAGAATTACCTGAGGGAAGAGATAATCGAATTAAGATTGATTATTTTCAAAACAAGTATAAATTTATTTTATTTTTTGTCAAAAAAGCATAATTTTACTTTTTGATCACTGTTCAATTATATGAATATATATTAAGTCTAGCTATTTCATTGATAACAACTAAAATTATTTTGGTTAATTATGAACTTACAAGAGTGACAAAGTTACCCAATACTTGATTCCGTCATCATCGATATTTTCGACAAATAACTTCTTGAACAAATCATGAATTGAATCCCTTAAAACCTATCAATCAATTCATTTTTTAATAGTAATTATGCTCCGGTAATAACGGAAATTATATCTTTTATTGGGAGTCCCTACCACTCACCAACTTTAGTTGTTTTATTCAACTATTCTTAGTCTAGAGACTCAACATAATTGTGCCATGTTTCCACAAAAATTAAAGGAAAGCATAGACTTGACTTAAGAATTAGGGAAAATATAAAATGGCCTCCCTATTTTTTTTCTTCCCTCATGGTAGAGACTAAAAAAATCTCTTCCTTTTTACTTTGAAAACCATATATTTCGAATTTCATTTTTGTTAATTTATAAGAAAAATACATGTGAGTTGGATTTTGTAGGCTCGCCAAAATAGAACAGACCTTCAGCTTTACAAGTACTTACAAAGGTTTGAAGCTAAAAAAAAAAAAGATTGAGTGACAAATTTACTTTTGTTCTTCAATTGGTGAGAGATCAGAGCAAGCGATGAGAGAAAAAAACAAGAGTAATATAAATATTGATAGTGAAATTGTGAAGAAGGCAATAAATAAAAGATATATGCACACAGTAAAAAAAAAAAAAACTGCCGATCTGACATTTCTTGTTTCTTTCCTATGACGGTCAGGCTAAAGAAGTTGATATTTAATTCTGAGTAAGAATTTGAATATTTTCATTTTTTTTCTTGGTTTTTGAATTTTTTTAAGCTAACAATACTACAAAAAATTATTTTTGGCGGTAATAAAAAAATTCATCACGAAATGTTTACTTTTGGCGGCGATTTAAAAATTGCCTCCAAAAGTAAACTTTTGAAAGGCCACATTTTACCAGTGATTTTTAATTGTTGTGGCCAAAAATTACTTTTAACAATGATAAATTGTCACTGTCAAAATTATTTTCATAAAAAAACTTAAAAATTAAAAATAATTTATGTAATTATTTTTAGTAAGTATTTTCATAAAAAATAATTAAAAATTAAAAATAATTTATATAATTATTTTTAACAGTGACAAACTGTTGCCACCAAAAGTATTTTCAAAAAAAAATAAAAATTAAAAAAACTTATGTAGTTACTTTAAGTGGTCACAAACAATCACTGCCAAAAGTATTTTTATAAAAAATATTTATAAAATAAAAAATAATTTATGTAATTATTTTTTAGTAATAACAAATCAAAGGTATTTTTATAAAAAAATTAAAAAATTAAAAGTAATTTATGTAATTATTTTTAGTAGTGACAAAATGTCACCGCCAATAGTATTTTCATAAAAAATAATTTGTGTAATTACTTTTTAACAGTGACAAACTATCATCACCAATAGTGTTTTCATAGAAAAAATAATTAATAAATAACATGGGAATGTTAAAGTTATACATAAATACTTACTTAGTTACATATATATATATATATAAATAGCATTAAAATATTAAAGTTATATAGATGTTGTAATATATAAATAACATTGCAAAGTACTTAACATATTACGCACTTGATGATTGTCTTAGTATATATATGTTGTCTACTCCATTTGCTGAGCCCTACTTTTCACTACTATAGGATTATTTAAATAAACGCTTCATATTTGACGATTATTTTAAATAAGCAACAAACAAAATAGGTAGAGAATACTTGATGGTTTTTTAAGTTATAGATGAAATTATGTATAAACTTATTAAAGTTTATTTATTTTAAATTGTAAGGTTATTGAAAAGTATTTCCTATTATCCTTATATTGAATATGTTAAAGAGACTTTAATGAAATTCAAACTAATCTAAATTGAGTCAAGGAAAGATTTCTTTTATTTTAATTATGAAATATCCACTTAGATTTTTAATTTAGATTTTTTAGCATATACTTTTAGTTTATCACATGTCCACCCATTTTATATCTCAAAAATAATAAAAAATAATTATTCAAAATGTCTATTAACAAAATTAATATGACTAAAATATTTTTATAAAAATAATTTTAAGATAATTAAAAAATTATAGATTAAATTATTTTTAATAAGAAGGGGAAGCATTTAACTTGGGAGAAGATAAAAGTTTAATAATTTATTTATTAATTTTTGAGAAAACATGGAAAAAAAAGTAGAAGATATTTGACATAAACTAATATAATACATACTTATAAATAAATTATATAATTAATTAATTTCATTAAAAAAATAAAAATAAAATTTAAAATTGGTAAAAATATTTATAAGAAAATTATTCAATTTTTAAAAATTATTTCATTTTAAGTTTATTTTGATAACAAAAATAATATTTTATTAGTAAATATAATATACACACACACTCATAGAAATTATTTTAGCATGTCAATAAATGAAAATAAAATAAAATATATATGTATATATTTTAATAATATATTATTTAATATATGTGTATGTAGTTAAATAATATATATTTAATTTTATATAAATAATTATAAGTGCATTTTAATTTAACTGATAAAAAAATATTTAAAATTTAAAAGGTGAGAGGTCAAAAGCTCAAATTTTAGTTTGAATATATTTCACATTAAAAATTTTATCACTTGATTTGATCTCTTGGACAGTAATCTATCGCAGCAACAGTGACAATTGATTTTCGAGCTAAGTTTATATGTGTTAGGTTAGCCAAATATAAATTTTGAAATTGAGATACCTCAAAAAATAAAAATTACAAACAACATTATTATTGCGGATCCCACCAGTCCTTTTTCTAATGCGAAATTTAATTGGTGAATGCGACTTGCAACTGCCATTCTGTGTTTTCCACACAGTTGTCGTCTTATTTTCCAATTGGCCAAGTCAATTGCCTTCTTATTCCACAAAGTTTTTTTTTTTTTTTGGTTGGTTTAGAATTTTTTTTTATAACATGTCTAAGTCAAGCTTTTGATCTTTTGTTTTATAATTTATTTAAAATTATGGATTCAATAGTAATTAGGCGCCAGTTTATTATTACCTCAAGTGTAATTAATTTTAAAAAAAAAAACAGAAAACACACAAATTTGCTACATATATTAGCATTAAATCAACAGTGCTAATATTTTATAATAGGAAAATTTCAATGGGCTCCGCTTTTTAAGCTTTTGGGTCAAGTAAATTCACCAATCTTACATTTCCCAGTATTTTTCTCCATTGCAAAATAGCTTTTGCATACTATTTTGTTCATTATAATTATCATATTTTACGATTACAAAACCAAAAAAAAAAGGGAAAAACTTAGGGATTTCGATTTTCTAACCTCTTTCTTCTTCAGATAGCCTTCATGTTTTCTCCATCTGCGTGATTTTCAGCAGCAGCTAGCCTTCAGCAACGAAATTGAACTGACAGCTCTTGATTTCCACTGCCGCTTAGATTATTGATGTTCATCACCTTCGAGGTTTGAATCCAACTCCCTCCTCCGCCATAATTGCCTCAAAACAACAAGATTAACTGGTTTATGAATTAAATAATAAGAAAAAAAAGGCTAATAAATGGATATAAGAAAGCTTGCATAATTGGAATCAGTCCCGAGACTTGATTTTTAATGCCCGTAGTTATATGCTGGAAGTTGGGCACGAGAAGCTTAGAGGAACATTCCTATTATATGCTGAGTATCATGACACTGCAATATCTTGAGGGAAGGAAGACGATGAAGTGTTTGGGAGATTCGTTGCCAGCAACATCATGAGGTAATTTACGCCCCATAATTTTTACGCTAACAAATTAATTACACGTTATCATTACCCTTAATCAGCCTATCACTTTCAAAGTACGTATATATAGTGAATCTTTCTTCTCCTATTGTTCTTCAACCTAAGAAGCCACTACAAGAAAAGAGAGAGATAGACTTTTAGTCACGACAAATAAAAAGTTGTTGATGAAAGTAAACAATCTACGAAGATTTTAAAAGTCACCACTAACATTTGACCATATGCGGCGACAGTCAAAATTTCTCAATATTTTTCCATAACAACCTTGTGCATATTATTTTGTTCATTATAATTATCTATTATAAGCTAACAGTTAATTACAATATTATCCTTGCTCTTATTTCAGAGCTGATCAGTTAATAACTCTCAAAGTTATATATAGTGAACCTTTCTTCTCCTTTTTCTTCATCCTAAGAAGCTTTGAGCCTATCCAACATGGCAAATCTATGCTTTCATTTCTTCTCCTCCATTTTCTCCATGCTCTTTCTCATGGTTTTTCCATCTTTATGTCATTCCAGTTTTACCCTCGATGGATTGACACTTTTGCTTTCAAATCATCTATTAGGGACCCCTACAATCACTTAAAAAGTTGGTCCAACTCATCATCTTTCTTTTGCCACTGGTTTGGAGTCACATGTAACAATGAGAGAGTGAGAATATTGAGTCTTCCTGAGATGGGTCTTGAGGGCACCTTACCATCACAAATTGGAAATTTGTCCTTCCTAGAGAAACTTGAACTACAAAGCAACAACTTTCATGGTCGGCTGCCAAAAGAGTTGCTTCAACTGCGCAAACTAGAAATTCTAAACTTGAGTTATAATGCATTTAGTGGAGCTATTCCAACTTGGATTGGGAGCTTGTTTATGCTTCAACGCTTGAGTCTTGGCAATAATAGTTTTGGAGGTCTCATTCCTCCAAGTATATGCAATTTGTCTAACTTGGAGACCTTGGATTTAAAGTCTAATTCTATCAATGGATCTATTCCGGTGGATATTGGAAGACTTCAACATCTAAAATTTTTAAGCATTTCTAGAAACATGCTTTCAGGAAGGATACCTCCAACTATCTCTAACTTATCATCACTTGAACACATCTCATTGTCTCTCAACTTCTTAGAAGGTATGTCCTGTATAATATATTTGTGATACATTTATTCTATTTCAAAATTGATGAATTTATCTTCTTCTTTTTTTTGTAATCATTTATATCAGTCTTATACTTGATGTCAATCTAACTTGGGGTATGCTATTTAATGTCTTTTCAAAGTTAGACTTTGAACTGAAAATTCTCAAACATTTTACAATTACATGAAACAAATTAGCTACACCTCTATAATTAAGCTATCATCACCAGAACAAACTTGACTATTCTTTAAAAATTACTCGTTGAATGAGTTATCTCCAACAAAAAAATATTTTTGTTTAAAATAGACAAGTTAATTAAATGTTATTTGGAATTCTCTTTCAGCTAGGCACTTTTTTTTACACTATATAATTTTTGGAATTCCATTTGCATTTGTCACACTACTACAAAAAAAGTTTAGGGGAGCGTCCATTTTGGAGTGCTTTCTTCTGTGGGAGCACTTTTTTGAGAAATGCTCTAGTAGGACACCAAAAAAATTTAAAAAAGAACATAATCTCCATCAAAAAATTCTAGCCTATTAGAGCACTATGTGGAAAGTGCTCCAATAGGCTGCGTGAAAAGATATTAAAAAAAAAAAAAGAGGCTCATATTAGATTGACTTAAGTTTTCATTTATTACTCTAATGTTGTTTTCATGTCTTAATATAAATAGCTTGCATATTCAAGGACTTGTATATTCTAAATAATAATTGTTATGTTTGTAATTTACTTGACAAGTTATTTTCGTTATGAAATTTATATGATAGTGAAGATACCATGAGAATTTGTGGTTTTTTTGGTAAAATTAATGAATTATTTTTTAGATTTATTTAGGAAAACATGTAATGAGAAAAGGGCTCATTTTTACATTTATTATATAATAATTATTAACTGGTCAGTAATAATGACCAAAGAACAAATTACTGAATACATATATGAGATACAACAATAATGCATTCCCAGAATTACATGTGCTACTCAATTTTTGTTAATACTGTTTTTTATTATCAGAACTCATGAAAAAGTACAAGGTTATTTTTCTTTTTGGCCATATTGCAGGACATATTCCCAAAGAAATGAATGAGCTTACAAATCTGAAAAATATGTACATGGGTATGAATAAGTTGTCAGGCCAAGTACCAAGAATTGGAAAATTGATCATACTTGAAAATTTATATCTTGCAAGCAATAACTTCCAAGGTACATTTTTAACGAATCATAATTTTTAACTACTGTTTTTTCTTTTATTTCTTAACGAGCATCATCATAAACGACTTTTTTTTTTGAGTGGCTATAATTTTTAGAGAAGAATCCCTTCAAATATATGTCATGTTGACTTTCTATGGTTATATTTAAGAGCTACCTTTTTCATAAGTTTATCCTACAAAATAAATCAAAGGTCTGTTTATTTAATATTAAAAACTATGTGATTTTTAGATAGTATGCATATTTTATAAGAATCCATTTCTTTTTTAGATATCTAATTTTATAAAAAGTATATATTATTTTTTCTTAGTTATAATATTTAAAAATGTTATCATTTAATTATTTTTATATTTTATGGTATCTTCATGCAAATCCATTTCTAAAAATATAGTTTTATTAAGCTATTTTAAAATTTATAATAATTTCATATATCTCTGTTTTTCATGGAATTCTCTCTGATATAACACATCAGATTATTTTCAAAAACGTTTCAAAATAGTTAGAAATATTTTTTTGATTCTGAATATTTTCAAAAATTTGAACAAATATAATAAAATTTCAAAAAAATATATTTTTTAAAAATAAATGATTTTTATGGGAAAAAAATCAAACAAATGTGCCCCAAATTAAATCTCTACTATAATTTCATAACTTCTTTTTATGTGATTCTTAAAAGTCATTAAATAAATTCATAGGAGTTCATCATGTTTTATGATTTTAAATTAAAATTATTTTTTGCAAAATTATTAAATCATAAAAGAAATTCAATACACTCGATCAAATTTGTTTCTGAAATAAACTAAAATTGCAGGAGGTGAGAGGCGTGGAATTAGAATGTTTCATGCAACAAATTTGTGTTGTCATATTGCAGGAGATATTCCCAATGAAATAAGTAATCTTACAAATTTGAATAGCATTTACTTAAGTGCTAATCAATTGTCTGGTCACATACCAAGAGGCATTGGCAAGTTCACTAGGCTTCAAGAGTTATTTCTAGACAACAACAACTTAGAAGGTATATATACTTTTATCATATTAAAGGCTAGTTCTGCTTAATTTTTTGCTAATTATATGATATTTTACGCATGAGCAATAGAGTTACTTTATTTTTGGTTTTTTACCATATTGCAAAAGATTATCACTACAAAAAACAGCTTTTTATCGCTAATCAATGAAAATTCTATCGCTAAATGGATTAGCAACGGAATATTTTGTCAGTAAAAACACTGTTACTTATTCATTAGTGACAAAATTTGTAATTTTGTCGCTAATTAGAGATGAAATTAGTGACATAATGCAATTTTGTCACAAATTTCTGACAAAATAGCGACAAAAATTTTCCATCACTAAATAAGGATAAAGTTATTCTGACTTTGTGATGAAATACATTCCGCCGCTAATCCGTTGCTAATTTTCCAACGGGCTTATTCCGTCGCAAATTTATTAGGTGGACTAAAATATCTTTGTCACGTCATCTGGTGGATCAATGCCATCTCACCACTATCTAGTCACCTAATGGACCATATCACCTCATGGCCATGTCACTACCACGTCCTAGTCACCCTGTGGACTAGTGGCACATCACCGCCACGTTATTTGTCACTGTCATGTCAAATATTATTACTTTCAATTATGTCTTGGCTAGGTTCAAACTTGCAACCTCATACTCTCATGTATTTTTGCATCCACCTTGTTGCCAGTTGAGCTGAAAGGAATCTTCAGTCCTAATTGATAAATTAAATGTATAATACTTAACCACACACACATATATTAATAAATATATTATTTAAATTATTATTAAATATAGTATTTAAATTTACTTAATTTTTAACATTATATTTATTTATGAATATGGAAAAATTAATTTATATATAATAATTATTTCTATTATATTTTATTTAAAAAAATTATTTTTGATAATAAATTTAATATTAAATTTAAAAATATTTTATTATCATTATATATTATATTACAATTTGTATCTATATAATATATAATATTCTAATTTTTTATTTTATAATTATTTTATTCTATTTTTATTTTTAAATAAGAATAATTAAGTATAGAATTTAAATTATTATGAATAATATACAAATAATTTAAAATAATAAATTATTTTTATTATTTTAAATTATTTATTTATAGCATAATAATATATATAAATATATATTATAAATAATAAAATTAAATTAAAAATAATTAGTGACAGAATTATGACAAAGAGCTTTGTGATGAAATTTTTCATCACAAATTCCATCACTAAATTAGAATAAGATATCCTAGCCACTAGCAATGGAATTTTTCATCAGTAAATTCTATTATCGTGATGGAATAATGATAAAATTTTAGCGATAGAAACTTCCGTTGCTAAATTCTGTTACTAATTTAGCAACTGAATTAGTGATGAAATAAAAATTCTGTCACTAATCTACTATTTTTTGTAGTGTATTTCTTTACAATAAACAGATAATCTCTCAAATTCAAGAAATTTATAAACATAGATGATACTATTTTTGAGTATTAATTAACCTTAAACAGGTATATATAGTGAATATATGCTTACTCAAGGAATTGGAAAATTGATTATTTTATTTTAATATTTAGATAACGACCCACAGCTTTTCAAACTTGTATTACAAATTAATTTAACAGGTTATATCAAATATTCACCAACTTTAATTTCTTGATTAAAAATATATCTGAATTGCACAATATAATTTGGGATTGATAGAAATTCAAAACCATATGTAATTAATGGGAATTGTCCTTTATTTTCATTTAAACAAGCTCGTTTTTATTTAAAATTAAATTTTTTTATGAAAAGTTAAAAAAATCGTTAACCTTTATTAAACTTAATTTATCAAGAAGTACAATTCATCAAAATAACAAAATAAATAAATAGGCTAATATAGATTAAATTGTTTTCAAAACATAGAATAAAAATTAAAGATACATATTTCATAATTTTATTGATGATTTTAAGTGTTCGCACAGCTTTTGAACATATAAATCTATATATGGGGCCTATCATGCTTTAGACATGCAATCTTATTTTCATCTAAGTCACTAACTTTGAAACACAAAATAACTTCAAATAACACGTGTTGTGCTTTGCAAGTGCACGAATCATAACAAGTAATACAAAATAAGTAAAGTATCATTCTTGCAAAGATTTGTATTAAAAATATAGTTCAAGCAAAAGATTGCACAAATTTAATTAAGTTCAAGAAAACAAATTAGTTGGACAAGTTGATTTTGCAAATTATATTAAAAATAGAAAATAAAGAAAAAAATTATTCTTAGACTTCAAGGTGAAAATAGGACCTAGAATCATCTATCCCTCTTTCTTCTCATAGCACTAAAATTACCTCCTCTTATAAATATTTTTAATGAAAATAAGTGCTAACTTAGGGTTCTAAAAAAATATTTGAGCAAGCCCTCTCAAGTCATGAACAAGTGTTTACTTTAATTAAATTGCTCAATCTCTTGTTAAATTAATAAAACCCAATTTTAAGCTCCAACCCGATTGTAGCGATGCAAGGTTAGTAAGTATATCTCTATTTACTAACAAAATCATCCATTCATCATGCAAATTTCAAGTTCTTGCACTATTTTACCCAAGTTTTACACTCAAGCATCACCTAAGTGAAAAAACATCTAAATGTGGCTAATCACTTATAAACATTAAAAGAAGAGTAAAGTAGACACTTATATCATTAATCACAAAAAGAAAGGAGAAATTTTGTGTTAATGCGTATAAGGGTTCAAAATAATCTTACAGCAAAGTGTTTAGTTACTTATAATCATCTATAAGTTATAAATACACAAAACATTTGAACCAATATCATATTAGAAAAGAGAAAATGAGAAGATATCGAAAAACTAAGAGAATGGAGCTTCAAATCTTCATTCCCTTGTTCCAAGTACTTCTAACTCCAAAAGTTTGAAGAATGAGTTTTGAGTTGAGCAAGCAACACATACACATCAAACCCTAATATTTTTAGCTAAATAAAATGCAATGCTTTGTTTTTAGTAGTGAAAGTTTCAAACAAAGTCGTGACTTTGGTCATGACTTTTCTCTATATTGCTCTCTTCTTCCATACAACATGATTAATCACCTTTGCACCTAATTTCTTCATCTTAATGCATCCTAATACATCACTTGATTTCCATAAATGCCCCCAACATACCCTAAACCAAAATATTGATAAATTAACTTGAAAAAACCAAAATAGAGCCATGGATTGAATTTCCAAAATAATATGCATATTTTCCTAACTAGAGTATTCAAAATGTGTAGAATTGTGCCAAAATAATATATTAGAATTTAAGAAAAATGTGCTCAAATAAAATGAAATCCTAGAGGTTAGCATTACCATAAACTTAAGTGTTGCTCATTTTACTTACAATGATGCGTTGCTTTTTTTTTTCCTTTTGCAGGAAATATTCCCAATGAAATTATAAGTCTTGCAAATCTAAAGATAATGAGCCTAAGTGTTAATCAACTATCTGGCCCTATTCCAGATGGTATTGGAAACTTGACTATGCTTCAACAATTGTATCTTGATAGCAATAATTTAGAAGGTACATTTTCATCCAAATGTAATGCATTACCATCATTTTTCTTTTAATGTTATATTTTATGCTTTAGCATTAGACTTGAGAATTCAAAAGGACTTATACCATATAATTGCCATAACTCAGAATTTGAGTTATGGCCAATGCATAAGCTAAGGTAAATACTTCCACTTAGCTTAGCAAGCCTGAAAAAATTTGCTTGACAATAATGACTTATTTTCTTAATTTTTTTCTTTGAATCATTTTCATTCCCCTAATTTTCATCATCACTCCAAGCCTCTTCCATCTATTTTTCTTCTTGTTAGATCTAATGCTTGGGCCTATCAATCAACCAACCAGCACATTTTTCATATTTCTATCATGAGTCCCACATTGGGGAGCCTCACAAGTAGAGTGAGATTAGACTCTCCTCCTAATAGGCTAATCTTTTGAGATAGGCTCTTTCTTTAGGCTTGTGCTCATGATATTGGAACTTCCATTGAGAATTTGGTGCCCTGAAAAGGGCTACTTAGGGAGGGTTTTGACTAATAGAAGGCCAAGTGAAATGCAATTGAGTGGAGACACCAAAGACATCAGCTCTCAATAGGGTGTATTGTCATGATTCCCACATTAAGGAGTCTCACAATTAAAGTGAGGTTTATAAGTGTGAGGGACTTTCCCTCTGAATAGGCCAACCTTTTGGTATAGGCTCTTCCTTTAAGCTTGTACTCATGACAGGTCCCTAAATTTGTTGACTAGTTCACTATACATATGATTTAATGGTTTATCTTAGACCAGATCATAACCTAGTTCATGATCCAACTAGCCAATATGGTCCAATTAGCTAAACCCTTAATTTTACTTACTATTTAGGTTTTTAATATTATACACTAAAAATAATTTTAGAAGTTCAGGCTAACAAGCTAACAACTCATCATCCACTATTAAAAATATACCTACAAAAGTGTTTATTTTGGACATGTGAGAATGTTTCCAAAATGCTCCCATATCCAATAATGTCGTACACATAGGAACATTTCAAAAGCTCTCTTATAGGTATCCTCTAAAGGAGGATTTTAGAAGAGATACCTATAAGAGCATTTCTAAGGGGAAAAAAATGCAACCATAAATTCTAAATCCATACTAAGTTTATTGCAAGGGCCCAAATCCATCACAAAATGGGCCCAAATCTCATTACAAATTCCATCCCAAATCTTATGTTTTTAAGTGGTGGATAAATCTAAGTAGTTAGACATTTGTAATTTTCTTTATGTTCTAATATTAACTTTCATTGATACTTCAATTAATATTTGTATTCCAGGATCAATACCCATGGAAATAGGCAATCTTCAACAACTTGAGATATTACAATTGTCTCAAAACAAATTGAGAGGGTTTATTCCATCAAAAATTTTCAACATGTCAACTTTAGAGGTCTTGTCTCTCTCAAACAATTCTCTATCAGGAAGTCTTCCACCAAATTTTGGATTTTCCCTTTCAAATCTACAAATGCTTTATTTATGGGGCAACAAACTTTCTGGAAAAATTGCAAATACTATATCCAATGCTTCTAAGCTAACTAGTTTAGAATTGGAAGACAATAATTTTGAAGGGTTTTTACCAAACACTCTTGGACATTTAAGATGCTTAGAAACCCTTTCAGTAAGTAATAATAATTTCACCATTATAGATACTTCTGATTCTGAAAATGGCTTTTTCAACTCATTATCAAATTGTAGACATTTGAAAAGTTTGATTCTCTCAATGAATCCACTACATATGAAACTTCCCAAGTCTATTGGAAACTTATCTGATTCTCTACAAGTGCTACTTATAGACTCATGCAAGATACATGGTAACATACCATTAGAAATTGGGAATTTGTCTAACTTGTTCCAGCTATCATTGGCTGAAAACTTTTTAAATGGATCAATACCAAAAGCAATTAGCAACATACAAGCTCTTCAGGATTTGAATCTTGAGGGCAATGAGCTAGGTGGTTTGATTGTTGATGAACTTTGTGAAATTAAAAGGCTTGCCTATCTACATTTATCTCGAAACAAGTTTTCTGGAGCAATGCCACCTTGCTTAGGAAATTTGATGTCCTTGCAAAAGCTTTACTTGGACTCCAATAAGTTGATTTTTGACATACCTTCTTCCTTTTGGAATCTAACTGGTATATTGGAAGTAAACCTATCCTCTAATATTTTAGTTGGAAACCTATCATTCAAGATTGGTAACTTAAAAGCACTTATATCATTAGATTTGTCAAGAAATCATATATCAGGAATCATTCCATCAGCCATAGGTGGCTTGCAAAATTTACAAATTCTCTTATTGGAACATAACAAATTGCATGGGAAGATTCCTGAATCACTTGGGAATTTGCTAAGCTTAGTAAAGTTAGACCTTTCCCAAAATCAATTGTCTGGTGAGATTCCTAAATCTCTAGAGTCACTTGTATCCCTCAAGTATATCAATCTTTCTTTTAATGAACTACAAGGTGAGATTCCAAGTGGCGGAGTCTTTAAAAATTTAACTGTCGAATCTTTGATGATGAATAAAGCACTTTGTGGTGAGCCAATAATGCAAGTGCCTCCATGCAAAAAAGGAATAAGAAAAAGGTCAACATCAAAATTGATTTTGTTGAAATATGTATTGCCTATTGTTTTGCCAATGGCTTTGATTTTTACAGGCATTGCCCTCTTTCAACAAAAATGAATAAATTCTCGGTATGCCATTAAATTTTTTTTATCTACTTTAGAAATGCCAAGAAAGATTTCTTATTTAGAAATTTTTGATGCAACTCATAGTTTTAATGAGAGCAACTTACTTGGAAGGGGGAGTTTTGGTTTTGTGTTCAAAGAAAAACTTTCAAGTGGAAAAATGGTTGCCGTTAAAATATTCAATTTTGACTTAGAGGCATTGTCAAGGAGCTTTAAGCTATAATACAACACAATGCGTAATTTAAGGCATTGTAATCTGGTGAAGATCATTAGTAGTTGTTCCAATGCTAAACTGAAGTGTTTGATAATGGAGTTCATTCCCAATAGAAGCCTTGAAAAATGTTGCATGTGCTTTAAAATATCTCCATCATGGCTTGTCAATGCAAGCAGTCCACTATGATTTGAAGCCAAGTAACATTTTGTTGGATGATAATATGGTTGCCCATGTGAGTGACTTTGGAATTGCCAAATTTTGTCGGATAACATTTTGTTAGATAAAGGGAAATCTAGGATGCACGCTGAGACAATATCTACAATTGGTTATATTGCACCAGGTAATTATCCTAATTCTTTATTCTTCTTCTTTTACAAAACCCCATTTATATTAGAGTTATTGCGATAATGATACTCAAAATCTTACATACATTGTCAATCATTTGTTTCATATTGACAAAATTGAATGAGATTAGAGAAGAATAAATTATTGTTTATAAGAAATGATTCACTGGTTTACAAAACATTATGTTTTTATGCATAAGAAGTTCAATTGACAAAACTACAAGACGTTATTAAAGTTATCAGTGTAAAATAATCGCATTTGAATCTAATGCCCTTAATTCTTATATAAAATTTTATTGCATATTTCCTTATAATTTTATTAAGGGAGGTTTTTATATTAAAAAAGAACTAGATTTATTTAACTAATTTAGTATACTTATGTTGAATTCTTTAATTAATTTACTTTTATACATCAATGAGATGGTTTGTTTTAATGTATGTGATTGTATTCGGCCTAAAAAAAATGTATGTGGGTGTGGGTGTGGGTGCATGTTCATCACTGTAGTAAGTAATTTTAATATAGTGTATATGACAATTAGATATGTGTGCGTGTGTGGGTTCTTGTCACAAATATATCTAGCATATTGTATTTGATGATAATGTTTTCTGAAAGTTCTTATATGATCTAGAAACCAAGCATTTAAAGCACTGTTTGATTGTTATTTTAAGGGGGAATGGTATTAAGGGCGCTAAAATAGAGTTTATTTCACTTAGGGCCTAAATGAATATGAAATTGCTTTGCAAGCCTTGAGGTCTTAAGTGCAATAATTTTTTGGAGCAAAAATACTATTTTGCCTTTTGTTGGATTTGAATTAAAAAAGCTGCACAAACCCTTAGAGAAAAGAAGCTGACGAAGCTTTATTCACTATTTTTCTTTTCTTTGCTTTGCCAGAGAAATAAAACTCATGAAGCTTCTCATTGCATCGCCATTTGAGAAAAGCTTCTCATTTCCTTATCTATTCACTATTTCTTATTACTCTAGTGGTGCTCATTATTTCCTGTGTCGCCACGCTCTCTTCCCTGTTGCTCACGCTTGGCCTAATCCATTTGACATTGCTGTTCATCACCAATGCTCTCACAACTTAACCTTGAGCTTCTCTCAGAGTCTCATTCTTACCATCTAAAGGTCACATCCTTACACAATCAAATCCAGTCTCTTGCTGTTGCTTAGCATTTGAGTACTAAGTCTTTGATGTCTATGACTTTGGTAATTACTTCTATTGTTTGCCTCAACCTCTTAACATTGAATCCTATTAATTAGATCTATAAGGTGGTTTAGAAAATGAGAGGACCTAAATTTTAGGAATCAAAAATTTTATTTAGAATTTCCCTTCTCTCTCTCAGTATCACATTGATGTTTAACCTTGTTTTCTTATCTTAGCAAGTCAATTTTATTAGGACTATTCTTATGTGTGTCTTGTCATTTCACAACAACAATAAAACATTAAGTGAAGGCTAAGAAAGTAAAGTAGCACTAATGTGTGCTGTTGCTTGGCTATGAATGATAAATGATGATATAAAAGAGGAAGTGAAGTTTGGTTAGGATTTTAGATACAAACATTAGTTAGGATTTTATTGAAAGAAGAGAATGATGTGGCTATTGTATGTGCTGTTTTGGGGTATTTTGCTCTGGTCAGAAGGAATACTAGTGAAGGTGGTACTCTTGATAGAATTGGGTGATGGATTTGGTATTCGATAGGATTGATATGGTCTCAATATAGGCATCATATGGTTGGTATTCTAAGTTTTGGGTTTAGGTGGGTAAAATTGTAAATAAGAAGGAAGGATGGTTAACTTAATGCATCATATAGAATGTTTACGAAGCCATTTATATCAAGTCTAACACTTTACTAGCAAGTATCTATTCTAGTTTTTTATTGCAAAATAGGTTCTTTATGCTTATTTTAATACCTCTAGATTTGTAAGCATTTAGACTGGATATGGATAGTGGCCTATTTTATAGCTCTCACAATGACATGTTTGCATGTGTGGACTATTTTTTACTTGCAATTCAATTTTCTACATCCTTGATTACATACTAGGTATTCCTGACACCAATTGTAGAATGAGTTGGTTATAATGGATTTATGTACGTTAGATTTTTTAAATATCTTGTTCTATGTCCTCGTTGTTGAAGGTAAACATTTGAATAAGAGATGGTGTACCGTTAATGTCCTGTTATTAGAAGATACTTCACTTAAATAAGAGTAGAATTGTTGGATTGAACAAATCCTTGATTTGGTTCATTTGGTATTAGCCATAGGTTCACTCTAAACTTTTATATGATTGATAAATAAATAAAATTGTAATAATGTGCAATACTTCATCATGTTTCTTTCACTTCCATTCAGCCAAGTAGGTCAACCTCTTTCTAAACTATAAACCTTATAGACTACTAAACAAACTCTTTTGATAATCATAGTTAATTTGTGCAGGTGCATAGCATAAAATGGCTTCCAGCAAACCACAAAAAGCAATAACAACTACGAGATGGCGTGATTTTAGAAGAGAATTTTTGGAGATTAATAAAGGCAAATATAAAAAGGTAGGCAATTTAAATAAGGTTGTAGCTGAAATATGGAAAGAAATGAGCATAAAGGAGAGGGAGCTGTATAGAATGAAGGCGACTAAAAATAAAGAGGTGAGAATGCACAAAAAATATGAAATTCCTTCCACACTCGATGTTCTCCTGTAAAATTTAAAGAAATTACTGAGTTTATAAAAGAGAAGCGCCATTTGAAAGAGAAAGTGAAGGCAATTAGCTTTTCTAAATTATTGGATATTGAAGGTTTGAAAATCCTAAGAGAATTATGCCATGAGATCATGCGATCTTATGATCCCCTGACTCAAAAATGACAATAAGGGGAAAACAGTATTAGTAAGAGCAGGGCAGCTACAGGCTATTATAGGGCTACCTAATGCTACAAGGGTAGTAGATTTAAATGTTAACAAGGAGTTGGTAGCAGAATTGAAGAGTGATTATACATTAATGTCATTAAATGACTTGAAGAACAAGATCAGTTCAGAGGATGAGAATGACAAGTTCGAGTTTTATTTTTTGTTGTTAACACTTGGCACTCTTTTGTGTCCTGGTAGAAGTCTCCAAGTTATTGATAAGGCATTGAAGGTGTTGGCATATGTGAATGATGTGTGGTCTAATTTTAATTGGGCTACTTTTATATTGGAGGAGTTGAATCAGGAGATTTAGCTCTACAAGGAGCATGTCAAGAAGGGGAAGTCAAAGGGAACCAAATATATTGGAGGATGCCTTTACCTATTAGTAAGCTATATTATTTTTGCTATTTTCATGAACCTTAGTTGTTATAGCTATCCTTACATTGAATTAATATTTTAAATTTTCTATCTTTAAAATTTTCCTCTCAATAAAGCTGCACCCCCAGCTAGTAATGCAATGGGGCATTGGACTAAAGAAAGGGTGAATGAAATGCTAGAGGTTGAGTGCTAGAACTGTCATGGCTTGTTTTACATTAAAGCACTACCTCACCATGATGCCAACCTTAGTGTCTTGACCCAGCTGCCTCTAATTACTGCCTTTCATGACAAGGTGTGTATACTTTTAACCCAATAGTATTTTTTAATCCTTTAGTTATGAATAATTGAACCCTAAGTTCAGAATAAGTGAACCCATTGATGTGCAGAACATGAAGGATGTGTGTGTAAGAGTGAAGGCTTACATGGAGAAGGTCTGTTTTGCCAATGTTAATTAGCGAACATTTTATTGTCAAATATGAATATATTATTATGAATAAGTGCACATTTTATATTTTATAGGAAATGAATGAAGTATAGGAGAGAGTCATGTCTTACATAGCTAATGAGTTGCTAGAGTTACAATCAAAGAGGGCTGTCATAAAAGAAGAAGAGGATGAGGATGAGGATGAGATAGGTGAGAAGGATGACAAACATGCAGAAGATAAGGTTGATGAGCTGGATGAGGAAGGAAAACATGATAAGGATGAGGATGATGTAGACACAGAGACAGAAGAACAAGCAGAGGTGGAGGATGTTAAAAACATAAAAATTGAAAGACAAGAAGACGAGAAGGATAAAGAGAAAGATGCAACTCAAGAGGGAGAAGAAGAAGAGAAATTAGACACAGATGCATTTCAAGACAAAGTGGCTACCTATAAGAAAGGAAAACTTCCAGTCAGGAGATCTAAGAGGAAGAAGAAGCCTATTTGTTAAATCTTCATGGATGCTACTTGTTACCCATAAGAAGAGAAAAGTTAGTGACAAGCAATGGCTATATGGATTGTGCCTAGATTGGTGTACAATAAAGGATAGCGGTTAGTAAGTGGAAAATTACTGTCATAAGAAATAAAAAGAAAAGTTCTTTATTGTAAAGCATCGTAATTATTTTTTTTGGTTGGATGTTACAGGATATTTATCCAAGTGTATGACTACTATCTTACACGAAGTGAGCTGCATTCTCTTGGACTAGCATAATGGATAAGCAATCAGGTAAAAAAAATTTTGACTTGTATTTAACAATGGAAGTCCATATATGTACAACTACATATTTGTAAATGAAAAACTAAATGTCCATATATGTCTATGTAGGTAATTACTATGGTTAACAGGACTCTTGTAGGTGACCAGAAGGAGTAGTCATCTCAAGTAACGCGTCATATTTTTTATGCTGAATTCATGGCTAAGATGACAAAGAATCCATCATGCTAGAATATAGATGAGAATACAAAGCATATTATCCCTGAGCATTTAGGATATAACTTAGGTGACTGTGATTTCATATTTAGGGAAACCATTAGTTTTGCTTTGTCTTGGTGCCAAGGACAATGACATTTTACATTCTTGATCTATGGTTAGTCACAAGTAATTAGAGGCTAAGGAGGAACAAATGAGAAAGCAGGAAAGAAAAGGAAGGGGAAAATGGCAAAAAAATGCCTAAAAGATCCTGTGTACAAGGATCAAATAAAGAGGGGTGCAAATATTGTATACTCTAAATTATGAAAACTTGCTTTTGAATTTGTCAGCCTTTTTGTGTTTATTGGCTAACCATTTACTTTTGTAGAGGGAGCATTTCAGATTAATTTTGCTAAAGGTGAAGCCAGAACTATCTGATGTGGAGTACAGCAATGACATACTCTATTTATGGGTCTTCAAGCAAGAGAACAAGTAAGTTATACTGGTATAACATTTAAATCTTTTTTAGAAACAAAATATTCATTCATATCTCACTCTATTGCCTTTATTATGCAGCGATGACTGTGGAATTAATCTCATTATATGACTTAAATTCTGCAACAATAATGTCAATGTTGGCCATCCTCCATTTACCATGCTTAGATACACAACACAAGAACTATCGGCCATGAGATGTGACATAGTATGCTAGTTAGTGGAGCATCCTAATAATGTCATCTATGAACATCCACTTGCACTTATAGGAACAAGTAAATGAGAAGAAAAATTATAGGATTGTAGAATTAGGTTATCATACTTAGATTATGTATATATTTAAAGATGTTTTTTTTGTAATTTGGAAATAGTTTTTGTTTGTAATTAAAATTATGTATATATTTGTACGAAAAGGAAATGAAATCTACAAGTCTCAACCTTTCCATTATGTACAAGACAATATCTACTATGCATGAAAAGTCTATGAATTTTGAGTAATTCAGTAGCCTTGGGTTTTAACTGAAATGGCTACGCAGACCATGCATGAGAGAATACCTACTATGCACAAGATGATATCCATGCATACACAATGGAAAGTCCATGCATTTTCAGTATTTCACTAGCCTAGCTTAGAGAAAATGATAACTTAAGTAGACCATGCATGACAGAACACCCACTATACACAAGACGATGTCCACGCATGCACAATGAAAAGTCCATGCATTTCCTGTATTTCACTAGCTTAGCCTGGAGAAAATGACAACTTAGGTAGACATGGACGACAGAACACCCACTATACATAAGATGATATCCACACATGCACAATGGAAAGTCCATGCATTTTTATCATTTCACTAGCTTAGTCTGGAGAAAATGATAACTTGGGCAGACCATATACGACAGAACACCCACTATGCACAAGACGATGTTCACGCATGCACAATGAAAAGTCCATGCATTTTCAATATTAATAAGGGCAATTACATCATATAAGAATTTCATGTTGGTACTAGCCTAAGTACTAAAACAAGTACCCACATGAAATTTGACATTATATTTCAAGTCTGATATATACAAAAAGTTACCCACTATATCCAAAATATTTAACAGTTGCTTCTTTATATACAAAAAAAATATCTATCATTCCCAATTGCTTAAAAAATATTATTTAGGAATGCTTCCATATACATAATTATAGTTGCCTATATACATCAAAGAAGTATAATGTGACTACTTCTCATGCTAGATTGGGATTCTTTTATGTATTGTGATTGTGTCCGGCATCCCCACATCTTGAACATGATAAATCTTATCTTGAAATTGAGACTCTAAAACTTAAGATGGAGAGATTTTGAAATCTACACACCTTAAAAGTTACTCCTCCCCATTAGAGATGAGAAACCTTTCCATTCTCCAGCTGAATACCCATTTCTGTGCATTTGTCATTCTTTATCTATGTTTAATTTCATTTCCGTACATTAGGGGCAAAATTATATTTTTACTCTGAAGAAATATTGCACTTAGTGCTTCAAGGCCTGCAAAGCAATTTTAGATTTATTTAGGCCCTAAGTGCAATAAACTCTATTTTTAGGGCCCTTAATCCTATTCCCCCTTATTTTAAACCTATTATATATATCTAAGAAAGTCTAAAGAATACATCAAGAAATGTATAGGAATTTGTGCTATTAATTAGTTATTATTTTACTTGATATGTCATATATAAGTTACTTGATATTTGACTTGGTTGAATTAAATTAAATCATATGCAGAATATGAATCTATTGAAATTGTTTCAACAAAAGTAGATGTGTATAGTTATGGAACAAGACTAATGGAGGTATTCACAAGGAAAAAGCCAACAGAAGATATATTTGTCAATAGATTAAGCTTAAAGACTTGGATAAGTAAATCAATGTCACATGCATTGATTCAAGTCATGGATTCTAGTTTGCTACAAGGAGATTAACAATATGTTGGTAACATTTTGACAACTACATCTACTATTTTTGAATTGGCCTTGAATTGCTGGTCTGATTTTCCAACAGAATGCTGCAATATGTTAGATATTATAGCATCATTGAACAACATCACGGACTTGTTTATGCAAAGAAGTGAAGTTTAAAGAAATTAATATTATTAAATCTATTTGTAATTGGTTTTGTTGTCCACCCTTCATTCCTCTTGACTATCCATTTAGAAAATGTTGGATGTGATAACTTTGAGAAATGGTGATGATGTATTTTCCTAAACATTGAAGACTAAGTATGAGTTGTGGATTTGTAAAACTTGTACTTGTATTGCATGGATTATGAGCCTTTTAATCAATGATAGGGTCCATCTTTTTAAGTTTTTAAAGAAGTTATCCAAGAAAAAAAAACAATTATATTAGCTTTACAACTATATTTCTAAATTGATCTTCAATTAGATAATATAATATATTAAACAATAAAAATACAAGAAAAATTTAAATGACAGTTTAGTCATTTTACCTGAATCACTATACCACAAAAAAAAATTATAGGCATTGCAATTATATTCTTCTTTCCAATCATGCTAGGGAGGATTTGTGAGAAATTTTTGTATAGACCTAGTGTACTATTTCATTACTATATTTACCAATAAAAACATATCATGTTATATGACTGTAAATATAAATTGATTTTGCCACTGATAATAGTAAAGAGAGAAAATAAAAGAAACACTATTACAAAAATAAAGTTATTAAAAATAATGGCATAATATTTTATTTGATTGAAAGGTGTAATTTTATTGGATAGAGCATAAATGACAAGATGCAACTAATCCATGCAAGATTTTTTTTTTTGAGGAGTTGTTTTGATTGTACACATATAGGAAAATAATAGTTAGATCTTAAAAACTTAATTTATTGACAATTACATTTTAAAAAATGAGTTAAAAATATCCTCTAAAGACAATTACAAAAAGGAAAATTTCAGTAAGGGACCATAGTGGATAAATTATTTAAAATCAAGCACTACAAAAAAATAGCTAATTAGCGATGGAATTTTTTATCCCTAATCATGAAATTCCATCACTAAATAGATTAGCGATGAAATATTTCCATCATTAAAAATACTGTCACTAATTCGTTAGCGACATAATTAGAGACGGAATGCAATTCCGTTGCTAATTGGCGATAGAATAGTGATGGAAATTTTCCATCATTAAATAAGGATAAACTATCCTGACTTTGCGATGGAACGCATTTTATTAATAATTCATCATAAATTTTTCAACAGACTTATTCCATCGCTAATTATTAGATAGATCAAAATATCATTGCTACGTCACCCAGTAGACTAATGCCACCTTACCACTAGTTAATCACCGCTACGTCACTGCCATGTCATTTGTCACTGTTATATCAAATATTATTACCTTCAATTATGCCTTGGTTAGGTTCGAACTTACAACTTCATATTCTCTAGTGTCTTGCATCCACCTTGTTGCCAGTTGAGTTGAGAGAAATCTTCAATCTTAATTGATAAACTAAATATATAATACTTAACTACACACACATATTAATAAATATATTATTTAAATTATTATTAAATATAATATTTAAATTTACTTATTTTTTAACATTATATTTATTTATTAATACAGAAAAATTTGTTTATATATAAAAATTATTTCTACTATATTTCATTTAAAAAATTATTTTTGATAATAAATTTAATATTAAATTGAAAATATTTTGTTATCATTATATATTATATTATAATTTGTACGTATATGATCTATAATATTCTAAATTTTAAAGTTTTTAATTGTTTTACTTTATTTTTATTTTTAAATAAGAATAATTAAATATACAATTTAAATTATTATTAATAACATACAAAAAATTTAAAATAATAAATTATTTTAATTATATTTTTTAAACTATTTATTTATAGCATAATAATAAATTATTAAATAAATTATATATAAATATATATTATAAATAATAAAATTAAATTAAAAATAATTTGTCATGGAATTAGTGATAGAATTATGATATAAAGCTTTGTGACCGAATTTTCCATCACAAATTTTGTCAATAAATTAAAATAAAATATCCTAGCCATTAGTGATAAAATTTTTTATTGGTAAATTATTTCTGATGGATTAGTGATGGAATAATGACAAAATTTTTGCGAGGGAAGACTCCGTCACTAAATTAACGATGAAATTAGTGACAGAAATTTATTTTGTCACTAATCTGCTATTTTTTGTAGTGAAGGCCAATGAAATTTAAAATCATACTGCATGACCAAGGGATTAAATTGAAGGAAAAAAATTATATATTTAGCCTTATATATATATATATATTTAATGTGCTTTTTTTCAATTAAATTAAGACATGTGAATCATTTATATTGTGTGTGTATATATATATATTCTATAATCAACCCATGCTATGAATATTATTAACACATCAAAGTCCACTTATTTTTATTTGATTAGATAAAAGTATATTAAGTATATAAACTAAGTACCCAAGTATTGTCCTTGAGAAATAACAAAAAAACCTCCATTAAAATTTAAATATAACTCCAACCATCTTCATTATTGCCACTAGAGCTCTATCAGTCAGACCACTAGCAACAACTCAAGCCACTGGCCATCACCTCTTAATTCACCAAAAAACAATATAACCACTAAGCCATTCGTACTATTAATTATATGTTGCAAAATGTTATATATAAAATAAACCAAGTTCCTAAACCAAGTCCACTAACATTATGATGACTTGTTAAAACCATAACTACTTGTTATTTTGGTAATGTGTAGTTTATTAATTCATTAATTCTACGTTTAGATACACATGGATTTGGATTTGAGCCCAATCCATTGTTTGGGTAATTAAAAATGTATGGATTTAGATTTGACCCAAATTCAAATTCAAGTTCCCCCTTAAGCTCTTTGTAATTTGAAATTCTTTCTAAACCCTTATTATTTCAAATCCTAACTGAATATCTTTTGTAATTTGGCCCAAATGCATGAAGGCTTGATCAATCTACCAAAGGTAATTTAACCGGACCACTAAAGTTGATGGAAACAAGTGGCTATCGTTGATCGGACTGGATGACTGACTTTCACTTAGACCAGATCGATAGTGACGATTAGGACAAAATAGCCAACTTACATTAAGGTTAGACCGACAATAACAATCGAGACTGGATAGTTGACTTCCACCGAGACTAGACTAACAGCGATGATTGGGATCTAATAGACAACTTCCACTAAGACTGGACTGATGGCAACAATAAGGATCAGCTAGTCGACTTCTACCTAGATTGAACTAATAGTAATGATGGGGACCAAACAACCAACTTGCACCTGGATCGGACCGATGGCGATGATAATGATTGGACTGCTGACTTCCATAGGGACTAAACTGATGGTGATGAAAGGATTAGAAGATCAATTTCCAC